CCCCCTTTTCTCGGATTACCAAACGCAAACGTTTCGAAAACGATTGACACGCGGCACGCACCATATCAATGGGAATTTCGTTCCAAATTTTTATTATTTTCTTTTTGAATGCATCCAAAGTGGTTCGTTTCGTAATTTTCAGATCATTGAGCTTCGACGACATGTATCCCCAAGCAAAAAAATCGAGCGGGTTCAAGTCAGGAGATGATGGCGGCCATGAGTCTCTGTCAATGAAATCAGGCAAATTCGTGCGTAGCCATTGTTGTGTCGTATTTGCACGATGTGCGGGTGCACCATCTTGTTGAAATACCTCTGAATAGTCTTTGAGACTGTGGCAATAAGTTTTTACGCAATATTTCTCGAATATATACTCTGGCATTGATTTTTACGCCTTCTTCGACGAAAACCAGTGGAAATTTGTGGTCGGCCGACATGGCGGCCCAAACCATCAATTGTGGAACATTTTGAAATCGTTCGATGGTTTTTTTATCTTCGGGAATATCAAGGATTGATGTTGCGTACACACGATCATTTTGCGAATTGAGGCTTGGCTGTAAAAGGAACAATTTTTCATCTGAAAAAACAATGTTTGAGTTTGCGTGTCGGCGCAACAACTCTTTGCATCTTTGCTTTCTGGCTTGTTTATTTTTGATTGTGAGACCATGTCGTCGACATTTTTTGATGGATATTCAGGTCTTCTGCCAAAACTCGTCGCATTGAAGTTTCACTGATTTTGTGCTCATGAGCCAACTTTCGTCCACTTCTTCGAGGTTCTCGGCGAATTTTCTCTCTCACTCGTTAGATGAGATTTTTGGTACGAACAGATCTTTTTCGTCCAGTTTTCATCAATATATCAACGCTGCCACGTTCTTTGTTTCGTTTTATTGTGCGCTTTACAAATTTCAAGTTGATATTTTCATTTTGTAGCTGTCGAAAAATATCAATTTGTCTCAAAAAAATTTAGTACCAGTTGACGTTTCACATCCATTCTTATCGCAAGCTATACAGACACTGTACATAAATGCGCAGTATCATTAGAGTTAGAATAAACACCAATAAACATAACGGTAAACGACAGAGTGAATCGCAAGACATTTGAGTATCAAAACAAACGATTGAAAAAAAGGGACAGTTATTATGACGCACCCTGTAGTAGGTGAAAAATCGCGAAAAATGAAAAAAATAATTAAATTTTTTTTTAGATTTACAAATACTACTCAATTTTCTGTATCACCTGGTGAAATCAGAATGAAAACAATCGCATCCCATATCATATAAATCACGATCTGGACTTTTTCACTGTTTGGGTGCTCTATACCGAGTCTCCGAGAGTTTCATATAAACTTGCTATGTGATACCTATTGAATAGTAAGCGAATACCTATCGTGATTGAATCAATAGGCGTTTTAATAAAATTTCTATTAACATTCTAATAAAAAATCTACTAACATTCTAATAAAAAATCTACTAAAATTCTAATAAAAAATCTACTAAGACCTAATAATTAGTAGTTGTTAGTGGCTAGTAAAATAATAATTATTACTTCTTAGTGGCTACTAAGAATTACTAAATAATAAAGTACTAATGGAAAAAATCTACTAACTAATAAGAATTTTTATTAATTATTATTTATTAGTTACACCAATGAGAATTAGATGTGAGTGTTTGTAGCGTGGTTTGGGCGATCAATTGATTTTATTGTCATTTCAATTTCAACGATTTTGTGTGTTCGGAACGCTGTTCGCTGAGGAATGGATATATTCACAGTTGGTTTTGTGTTCATTTTTGTTTTAATTTCGAAATAACAGAGTGTTGATAAAATTTACTGTGAATATTCCAACAACATTTCGATCGGGAAAATATTTCATGTGACATTGGAAATAAATTTCATCATTCGATTTAGAATACAGAGTCACTTTGTTGAGGTAAGACGTGATATTTATAATGCGTTCTTCATTACTGTTTCATTTGATTTGTGATAGAAGTGTTTTTATCTTATTGTGTTTGTGATCTATGCTATATTTGGTGAATTTTTTTCTAAATTTGTGTGTATTTTTTTATTTTCGTTTATTTGTATCAGTTCTTCGAGATAACAACGATTCGCCGGTATACGATGACGAAAGAGAAGAAGAAAATTTCGTTGCAATAAAATGTGGCTTGCAAACAATACTTCGACCCGAGCCTAGGGGCTTCCATCAGTCGTTCATACAAATTTATACACAATATTCACGTCCTATCCATCATATATACGATTAAAATTTCTTGCCTATACCAGTGAATAAGGTGGTTTTTAAACTGCAGTGTAGCAAACACACAGAATAGCTACACAGAATCGAAGAAGATCCGCACAAAAGAGAATGAAAAAACATGCCATAGACGAAATATACACGAAATATACACCAAATATACACCAAATATATGCAGTTATGCACATTTATTTGCACGTATTACAGATGATTTTGCAATATAGTTCACTATTTGCATTATAAATTGTATATATTTGAAGATAAAAGACCCGAGCATGCAGCAGTTGTGACTCAAATATTGTTTGAGTGCAGTCTACAAATGACGGAAGTGGCCTCATTGGCTTCACTTTTGATTTTATTCAAGGTGAATGAAGCACTCGATAATGAAGATCGTCAGTTCTTTTTGCGATGGGATCGTTGGAAGTTCTTCTTCGATTGCTTCAAATTGAAGCCTTCAATGCGGTATTGGCCAAAAACGTTGAATTTGTATTACAAATAGGCGCAAAATGCCCTATAGGGGCAAAATGCAAAGCAAAGGCCATATCAATGACTATTGATGGCGACGAATTGTACGCGATCTATGAAGAACACACGCATCCGGGAAAAAAATCTTTTGGAAGAGACAGATTCATCACAGGATGAAGACGAATGATAAATGAAAAATATGGAAATGTTCAATTAATTGAAAATTTGATTATTCTAATAAAGTAGATTGATTCAATGTGGTAATTTTTGTGTTGGTTTTCTCATCTTGCATTTTGAATTAGGTATATAATGGAATGGCTAGAATTTTCAGGTGGTTTTTGGTGCATATAAGGCTTATTGAATTGAACGTATGAATATGTAAAATCTTTTATTGCTTCAATGGCTCTTCACCTCTGTATTGGCTTACTTCAAAACTTTTCCAACGATATTACTACGTTCAGTTTGAATGCCACAGTAACTGATTGAAAAATTCACTATAGTGAAGATCAAAACAAACCTTATTGGTCTGTCCGAGCAATTCACGTAGAAATAAAGGAATTAGATAGTATTGTGGGGATAGGAATTATGGAAATTGTGCCAGTGAATTTAATTTCTATATTTTGTTAATAATCTGCGTGATAAATAAAAAACCAAGAATTATGTGAAATGAAAAATGTTAATTGATTAATATGAATTTCAGCAAAATTATACATAAATATAAACCATGATATAAAATGAGATCGTTAAATTGTGATTGAATATGTGTAAGTAATGGATGCATGAGTTCCTACTTAAAATTAAATATTGTTCGTTGATCTCTGCAATTCTGAGTTAGTATTTTTTGTACATGTTAACGTAAAAAAGCAAAGAAAAATTTCGGAAAACCAAATCATATTTTTGAATACCTTAAATACCATAAAACCCATAAAAGCCACAAATATTTAACAAAATAACTTTCTAACTGGCTTTCTGTCCCCCACAAAAAAAGAAGAAAACTCATAGAAAAAACCATTCATTCTTGAACCTTGTGGAAAAATAGCCTGGACCGCTGGAATGACCGTGCTTGATACCATGCCACCGTCGGGCCCAATGGCAATGAACTCTTGACGAATGCGTGATACCTATAAAAAAATATTGAAATATGCTACAAAATTGGTGCAAACATGAGGTAAACTCATTGAAATATTTACGACAGCAAAATATTGTGGAAAATCATATGTGACAAAGCGACAAATTCGTCCTCCAGAAGATTCATCCAATTGATTGATATCTATAAATGAAATTAGGCTAGGCAATTTAAAAATATTCTTCTTACTGCAAACATTCATTTGCATACCTCCTGGTTCAAAGTATTCATTGAGAGTATCGTGAATGATTTCATCGCTGTTTTCGACTTGGTGCTCACGCCAGGTTTCACCATTGTCTGACCGGAGAATTACAATCTCTCGCTCTTTTCCACGTAGCGATGCAAAATGTGGTACTTCCATGATAACCGGCCCAATAAATTTAGCTGCAACTGGTCCTAGTACATGCGAATAAAAAAATCAGAAACCAAAATATAAAACACAAAAAAGTGTATAAGGAATTAATTACCTAATTCAAGTACTCGACTGGCCAGTGCTTCACCTTCCATTAACTGCGGAGGATGCAACGTTCGTTGTGGTTTAACATAACGACAAGTGATCCTAGTGGGCATTGCACACGAACGTGGCGGCACAATAATGCGAATACCACTATGACGACATCCACGCATTGCTCCACCACGTGCATCGACCAAAAATGATACCAAGAAACTGCCGAAAAATGTAGGAAACATTGTCAGATTGTTACATAATTATAACATCCAGTGAACAAAATCAAAAATAAATTAGCGGATCAGAAAATCCCAGAAAATTTGTTTTTCAAAATAGAGCAACTCAATTTCAACTTGAAATTAAGGATTTTTTCTTTAAAAGTACAACCAGGATAATTATTATGAAAAAAAATTATGGTGTTTGATACACCGTTGTAGAGGTATTTATGAGTAGAATCGATTTGAAAAGTAAAATTTACAAAATCAATTTTCTTGGTGTCATGAATGTGAAGAAGTCGAAATGTTAATTTTTCCCATGAAAAGGTCCCCCAAAGCGGAACTGGTCAAATGGAAACGGGAGGCGACTAGTGATTCACCATTAGAAAGGTATTTGAACGTAGAATAAGAACATGACTTTGGTGACATGAATATGAGGAAACTGAAATTTTCATGTAGTGTAGTCAAAAAACTTTCTATAGAAAGATATTTAAGAGTAGAATTATTTATAAACATTTGAAAAATAGAAAAAGTATATCCGTGAATTGGCAAAAAATGGCAGAAAAGGGGAATTTTATACATGCCACCTGATATATGTCGATATGATTCTGCAAAATTCACAAAAAATGAAGCACCCCAATATGCGTAAATTGACAAAATATAAAAGTATTCATTGAACATTTTATAAATTGCATCATTTCGTTTGTTCTCAGGTTTTTTAACATATTGCAAGACGCCCGCTTGTGTGACTAATACACACCAATAAGTAGTTATCCAAAAATGGGGTTAAGGCAGGATATCAATTCACAGGCCTTTTTGAAAAAAATAATGATTCTGAAAATTATTGGAGATTCGGGTCGTTGTGGATCTATCAATCCATCAAAATCAGTCCTCATGTTAGATTTCTTAAATGATGTGTTGGGCCAATGTGTCTTGAGCCTTGCGGTTTCCCTTACTCGTGAGTAATCCACAGGAAGGATTGGCTCTGGTCCCATGGCTGTGCTTCGTAAAGCCGCATTGGCCTTAGTGAATTGTAGCAGACCATAATTGAGTCATTTCTCACCGTAAAGTCTTTGAGTTTCTTCACGACTCTCAAGCTGTCAGTGAAGATGGCTTTGCTACCTTCCACTCTGTCCTCTAGAATGTTTAATGCACATTGATAAATTGCAGTTACTTCCGCTTTTTTGACTGTTGTAGTTAGTCCCAAGGGAATCGAAAAGCGTTATTTCCCCGTGAATAGTGGATAACACACCCGCTTCCCGTCTCTCTGACTGAGCCGTCAGTGAAATAGGAGAAGTGCCCCCATGTGCTGTGTTGCTTTGTACTATTACCTCAAATCTTCTGTCGAAGTTATAAGAGGTTCTAGTGATAGACTTACTAGGGTATTTTTTGAAATTTTCGTAAATTTCGTATGGAGACCCCCCATGGGGGTGATGAGAGGGGTTGCCCAATGGCAAAAATGGAATGTGCCCACAAAATAAGCTATTGGTGGTTATACATTTTGGTGCAAAATTCCGGACCGAAAAAGTGAAAAATCGACTTTATAGGATTTGACCCCAAATGGAGGGCACTGGGGCAAGACACAATAATGGATGAAAAAAATATCAATTCTAAGGCATTTTGGCACGCTAAGTCCGACATTTGCGGTTTCAGGTCAAAAAAATCACACCTTGGAGTTTTGACCCCCGACCCCCCTAGGGGTGGAGGATTTAGAGGACGATTACCATAAATTTTTATATTTTATTTAGATTTTATTTATCGTAATGACCTAAGGAGCTCTTGCGGCAACATCTAGCGTTGAGATATCGGCATGAAACTTTACACACGTTATTTGCACACCATATGGAAAAGTATTCCGTGGTGAGAGCGAAAAAATTTCAACTCTTGTGTTCTGGGGGCCAGTCTATTCTATATTTTGATAACAATTAACTGAATTTGTTTTGTAAATATTCGGTTTGTTTCGTTATTTTCGATCTTTGTAGACAATAAGAAACTATTTTTATTTAAAAAAAACATTTGATAGTTCTTGCTGTAAAGTATGTTTGTTATACAGCAAATCACTTTGGTTATAATAATTGAGTATATCAAGAAGATGTCAAAATATATATAACGACGATTCCATATCAAATCGATCAAAATCTGGAATCAAGGTCTCGGATTTCGTTTAAATTTTGTATATATGTTGGCCCCCATGAGAAACTAAGATAGCCAAAATTTGGGACTTAACTTTTCACAAAGCCGTAAAAAATCAAGGAATCAATTTTCGAAAAAATGGTCAAAAATCGAAAAAATTGCATTTTCCCATTCAATATCATTTGTAAACTTTTATTTATACAGGGTGTTTCACAGATCCATGCTAATCTCTCTACCACAGATTCATCAGCTCAAGAGGAGTAAAAAAGTGTATGAGCACTTTTCCCAAATCGGCTGTTTTAGTGGGGTTACAGTCCTCGGCCCCTTAGGGTCAAGATTTTCTAATTTCTGGTTGATTTCCACGGACGGTCACCACAGCGGTGTTTTTCAAAAGCAATTTTTCATTATTGTCTTGTTCGAAAGATCTCTCGGTCCTCTTAAGAATATCACAAAAAAAATTCAAAAAAAGTTTCAGTGGAGACGGTCAAAGTGGGTTGACCAAAAGTGAAAAAAATCATCGAAAATCGAGGAAAATCGTAATTTATCTCGAAATAACATGTGATAAACCTATCTTTTTTATGCCAGAAATCGAAAGAGCATTCAATTTTGGTCCGGTATGCACATTTTTAGATTCCAAATTTATGTGGGTGTGTCAAAAATTTTAACGGTCCGAAGTGGAGCGACCGAATTTTTTTTTCATTTTTTTAATCAAATTTTCTGGGCAAGTTTTTTGCGCTGATTGTTTGGTTTTACCACCGATCTTACATAATTCGGACCCAAGGAATCCAATGGTGCCAACGGTTTTGACCGATCAATTCGAAGTTCACAAGATAATCGGCTTCGAACCTACCCCTTGGAGTGACATTTTTGAGTTTCGATTTTTTTCATTCGATCGGTATGAAAACTGGTATTGGGGGGTTTTTGGGTACAAGAGAACCGAATCTGATATTTATTTTGACATTTTTTTTTTTTTTTTACTTCAACTTTTTTTCATTTTCTGGTACATTTAATTAAATCGAACGTAAGTATTTTGCATTCACAAATTTTCGACGTCATTAAATTATTATTAGTGATACGACGCTCCATTAAAATGAAAACAACTTGAACAGAATACCTCAAAATTGTGTTAAATTTTGCGCTGTAACCTTTTCAATACGTATAACACTGAAATAATCATTTTACAGAAATAAAAAGTTGAATTTATTTCGATATAAAAAAAATCGAAAAAATCACTTTTTGGCAGTCGGAAGATTTTTTAAACTTTAATTCAAACACCTGGTTATATGTATATCGTTGGAAAGGTAATTGAAGGGGCTATCCGACGGTGCCCCCCGTAGGTCCCCCTGCCCCCCGATTTGGTAAAAAAATCGGGTCAAAGTAAAAATTGCTATGAGGGGAGGGGTTTTTACCAATTTTTCGAGAATTTCTTCCATACATCACAAGTGGTTTCACATCGGTTATGGATAGAACGGCAAATGACCAATAAAAAGAGCGAAAAAAATCGAGAAAAAAAACCACGCATAAAGCCAATTTTTCACTTTTAATATTTCAAACTGATTTTTTACCACTACAGGGGGGTGGGGGCACTCTCGGATAGCCCTATCGAGGCGACGATATACATATGTCCGAGTATATAAATAAAAGTTTACAAATGATATTGAATGGGAAAATGCAATTTTTTCGATTTTTGACCATTTTTTCGAAAATTGATTCCTTGATTTTTTACGACTTTGTGAAAAGTTAGGTCCCAAATTTTGGCTATCTTAGTTTCTCATGGGGGCCAATATATATACAAAATTTAAACGAAATCCGAGACCTTGATTCCAGATTTTGATCGATTTGATATGGAATCGTCGATAATCATCAGATACATATTGTAAAAAACAAATAGAAAAGAATAAATGTGAGAAAATAAACCCCTATGCAAATATGAAATAAACTTAAAAAACAGTACATAAACATATATTTGATCATTTTTTTTTTTTTTTGAAAAAGTCCAACTTACTTCTTCCAGTGTAATTTTCTGTTTATTCCACGAAGAGTAAGCAATTTTTATGAGATAAGAATATTTTGTTATTTCTTCTAAACTACTGTTGTCAATGGACAGTCCGAGTAAGTTCGGTTTCGTCCGACTTAAATTCGAACTTCGGACACCGTCTGCTAATATCGGAGCGAACTCGGTGATGAGATCGGACTTTCTTGTTCGAGTTTCAAAATATTTCCAACAAAATTTTTCAAGTTTATGTCATCAACACATGGTTCAATAAGTCTTTGACTTGACCTATAGATGGCGCGACTAGAACAAAATTTTTTCTATTTTTCGAAAGTAGCATCCTTCAGAGGCGAAATTTGAGCCAAATCCATTCACCGAGGCAGAAATTACTTGAATCGAACCAACAATATTTTTCCGTTTTATGGCTTTTTTTAGAAGAGTAGTCTTTATTTTTATTAGTATTTTTCGTGCGGCATAGTATCATCCAGGCAAGGAATACATGCTAAAGCCAAAAACTCAGATTTTGTGACTTTTTGTGGTTATGTTTTACGATTGATTGAACTTGGACATAAATGACATGCACGTCGTTGTTGTGATGTAACTGGCGCTTCTTGTTCCTCTTGACCCATCAAATGCTCACGAACTTCTTTGAAAGCCGACTGATTAGATGCATTCATGCCGCGCGCTGTTCGCCGTGAGATATGATCGTAAACTAAACCTTCATACATGTCGATCAAAAATGTCTTGCGTTGAAATGCATACTGTTCATGCGTGATATCGTGACTTGTGTTGTAAAGAACAAATGCTGCAACACCACATACGTTGATGAGATTCATGAAGAATGGAAATGGCCATCGATTGGTTCCAAGTTGACATGAGTTTGAATGGAACATTTGATCCCTAGTTTGATCCAAAACATCCACACCGCCTTATGTGCTATTGTAGACTTCAGATCGATTTTTCTCTGACAGACATTTTGTTGAAATAATAATATTATGTACGCGATAAACAAGATTCAAATTGATTTTTCTTGAGAATTTCAACCTATCTTCTCGTTTTCCAATTTAGTTTTTCATTTTTATTAAACGGATATCATAAATTTTCACCAACTTGATTTGTGAAAATGCTTGATTATGTGTTTCCCATACATTTTGTATGGATGGTCTATTCAGGATTTTAAATGTTATTTTCAATATTTATCCATTATTCTCGTAAAAAGGCGAAAATTTGATGCCAATCGGTCGACGCGTTTCCATTTTATGATATTTTTTTCAAGTTTTCGGTCTAATAGACCGTTACTATACCTAGGATGGTTAAATCAGAAAAACAAAACCCAAATAACACATTGCAAAAGAATCAAATCCATGCAAAGTTAAAAAATGGTACCTTCACCATGGAACAACATTTCATTGAAAATTTTCAAAAATCCTGATTTTCAAAACCATTCACTTCTGAACACAAATTTATGAATATTAAAGGTTTCCTGATCCGGAATGATCAATAATTGTCTGAAATTAACATGAAAATTAATGTGTGCAAAGTATTCCATGTCATAAATTCATTTTTGGTACCAAATGGAGACATTAAAGAAAAAATACAGAAAAATGACAAAAATTATAATATTTTCGCCACTTTCTTGAAAAAAAGGCCAAAACTCTTCCGCATCTGAACTTTTCATGTATTTTACTCAATTTGTGTCATTGCAGCATCAATAACATCTGATCTTTAGTCATAGTGCAGTACAGGATGTGCCAGTGAAACTGATATTTTTATATATGCTTAAAAAACGTATTGTTTTTTTACTAAAATTGAACAAAAACTTTATTGAGATTTAGAATAGGGTCCAAAATTTTGAATTCATGTTTTGGTTTTGATTTTTCCTCCATTTGCACGGACCACCAAACGCAAACGTCGTAAAAACGATTTCCACGCGGCGCGCACCATTTCGATGGGAATATCGTTCCAAATCTTGACGATTTTCTTTTTGAATGCATCCAATTTTGTGATTTTCTTAATCTTCAGATCATTTAGCTTCGATTGCATGTAGCCCCACACAAAATAATCCAATGGATTCAAGTCTGGAGACGATGGCGGCCACTCATCTTTGTCAATAAAATCAGGCACATTTTCTCTTAACCACTGTTGTACTTTGTTTGCTCGATGTGCCGGTGCTCCATCTTGCTGAAACACCCATGGCTCATCACCAAACACAGTTTCGGCATGTGGCAGAAAGTTTTTGCGCAATATTTCTTCTTCATACACAGCTGCGTTAATTTTAACGCCTTTGTCAACGAAAACAAGGGGAAATTTGTGGCCGGCCGAAACGGAACCCCAAACCATGACACTTGACACATTTTGAAATCGTTCAACGACTAAATCATCTTCAGGAATGTCCTCAATTGTCGCTGCATAAACACGATCATTTTGCACATTGAGACTTGGCTGCAAAAGGAACAACTTCTCGTCTGAAAAAACAATGTTTGAGTTTGCGCGCCGGCGTAGCAGTTCTTTGCATTTTCGCTTTCTATCTTGCTTATTTTTGACTGTCAATCCGTGTTTTCGGGTTTTTTGAATGGTTTCACTCCCAAATCTTCTTTTAACATTCGTCGCATTGAAGTGTGACTGATATTGTGCTCACGAGCCAAGATTCTGGCGCTTCTTCTGTTATTTCGACGAATTTTGTCTCGTACCTTTTTCACCAGATCTTTTGTTCGCACAGATCTTTTTTTGCCTGGTTTTCGCTTCACATCGACTGTTCCGCGTTCCTTGTATCGTTTTATGGTGCGATGAATAAATAACAAATTGATATTGTCGTTCTGAAGCCGCCGAAAAATATCAAATTGTCGCAAACCTTTTTTATGCAAATTCAAAACGAGTTGACGTTTGACATCCATTGTTGTTGCAAAGTAAACACTACTGCGCACTAATGTGCATCATCACAGTACATAGCCAAAACATGAATAAACATAACGGTAAACAAAAGAGTGATTGGAAAGCAATATAGTTGTAGCTACGTAGTTACGAAAAAAAATATCAGTTTCACTGGCACACCCTGTACTATCCGAGTGGATCACATTGTCATATCAATGAATGGAATGGGATCCTGTACCTCTAAAACTTGAAAGCTCTTGCAGCATTCGCCTTACTGGTTATGATTGTGTCACTTAAATCCCATTATCATCCTGAAAGTGTATATTCTTTATAAACAGTACGTATACAGACGTTTTGATTGAAAAGAATTGAAAGTTGTGATTAAAATGCAACAAAATTGAATTTTCCACAAAAAAATTGGAAAATTCATTATAAAGACTTGTTTAACTCCACTAAATGTCTTCAAAATTATTGTGCTACCGAATTGTAAGAGTTATACAGGCATATCTATATATTTCGATGAGGTCACCACTTGGTACCGAAAATGAATTTCTTTTATGAATTACTGCTGTGTTAGAAAGCTTAAATATTGCACACATCATTTTCAGACAATTATTGATCATTCCGGATCACAGAACCTTCAATTTTCGTTCAGAAATGAATCATTTGAAAATTGGAATTTTTGAGATTTTTCGGATGAATTCGATGAATTGTCGCTTCATGGTGAGGGTATCATTTTTTAACTTTGTTTGGATTTTTTTCTTTTGCAATGTGTTATTTGGGTTCTGTTCTGATGATTTAAGCATAAAAATAAACAATGCCGAAAGTATAGTGTATTTTTATGCCTTACAAAAAAATTCAAAAAAATTCAAAAAATCCAAATTTTTCCCATTTTTGATATACGGCCGTTGAGCCGTGACATCCCAGTTTATATTTTTTTTGCAAAAAAACACCTGATTCGTGATCAGGGGATCCCATAGCCAAGGTTATTACCCTCGCCGTATTTGTTTTTCAATTTTTTCATATTTCTGCTACACCCTAATGCTTGATTTAATCTGGACAAATGATGTTGAGTTGCTTTAAAGCTCCATAAGCGACTTTCATTTGTTGAATTTTGAAGAGCATCATAATGCTATTAGTATACGATATAAAGAGCCAATCATAAAAACAACTGAAACAATACATATATATCAAGATTTCAACAACGCTGATTATAAACGAATAAATGAGTCGCTTCTTGATGTAGATTGGGATAATGTTTTTGATACAAATTCATTAGAGTTAAGACTGGATAATTTTTATGCAATTATTAAGTCAACAATAGAAACTCATGTCCAGTTAAAGACAAAAATAATCAGAAAACAACCAATGTGGTTTAACAAATCATTAATTGAGTTGAAGAACACAGTCAGCAAAGCACATCAAAATAAAAAAAGGCTCAACACACTTGAATCAATTGAACATTACAAAGAAATAAGAAGGGAATATAAAAGATGTGCACGCTCAGCACTCAGAGATTACAGAATAGAGATGGAGAAACATATAGATGATGATCCAAACAAATTTTTCAAGCACGTGAATTTCAAAAAAGGGAAAAGTGAAGATCTACCACATGAGATGACTTATTTGAATGAAAAAGCAAGCGATCAATTAACAATTGCTGGTTTTTTTGCAAAACACTTTGGCGCCGCTTATAGCTTTTTAGAAGGTGATCTGCGATATGAGAGCTCGGAAATAGAAAAAATACGTGATATTTGTGCTGAAATATCAATGATCGAAATAACCGAGGAGCTTGTAGGTCAACATATAAGCATGCTGTCAGATGATCTTGTCTGTGGTCCTGATGAAATTCCAAACAAATTCATCAAGCATTGTATGATTTTAACGCTCTAGAATAAAAACAACTTATTGTTTACTCGCATATCGAAACGGAACTCAAAACGGGTGCATATCAAAGCGAGACAATATTTAGTTATCATAGGAATAGAGAACATTGGCTTTTTATTATGCGAAATATGTA